ACGTTGTCTCCTGGAACACATCCTTTGAGCGTGATTATGAAGCGTATAGGGAGTGAAGGGGTGTCCAAAGCTCCTTGACAGGGAAACTGATCAGTGATCCATTCTGTCGCACAAACTGATTCAGTAATGTACTCTGTGAAGAGCCGTTGCACTTTACGTTCTAAAGTATTAATGCTTCAATTTGCTTGTGAGCTCATGGCTTTGTTGGTTACAGGATCCCTAATAACATACATGGGTCCAACAAAAAAAACGTCGAGGTCGCAATTAATCCCACTAATTTATGTATATTATTCGTAGAAAATTAATAACTTCAATCTTTTTTTTGGCAATAAATTTAGAGAAAAGAAAACGACCTTTGTTCCCCCACGTAATAACGAGAAAACTTTTTATTTCAACCGACTTCATCAGACAACAACTAGTACTACTATTACTACTAGCCCTAATAAAGCCGCGAGAACGAAACAATAGCTAAAATAAATATAATCTGGAGAGTAAAGATTTTTGTCCTTTTCTTTAATTTTATTGCCAAAATGTCTAAATCCCTCCAGTAAGCACTACAAGTTCTGAAAAACAAGATATCGTCTCTTTTTATCCCTTCTTGATTGTTCAATCTTTTTACAGATAGTTGCTGAATATGATTGAACTTGTAGATCCCGCCAGCATATACAGTGATTGGTATAATTTGAGGTTTAAAAATGTCTTTTAGCAATATTGGTAATTTGTTTCCACCTAGGAGAACGTACACACAACTATTGTATAAATTTAGAAAATGAATTACAAAAACTTTAACGAGTGGAAAACGCTAAAATTTTTATAAAAAAAAACAAACAAGAAAAAAAAAAAAAGGCCGCATGTTTGTTTAAAAAGCTGTTATTTTCTTGTATTGGAACAGCGAACCATACCTTAATTATTGTATGCTTTTTACTTTCCTGGTGTATTTTATTGATATAAAATTTAGTTTTTACTGGAACTGCTGTTCATTGGTTGGCGTGCCGGATTGTGGAACGGAGATTCCGTCGTTTGCATCCCGCTATCACACACACAAACTAGCACATAGAGCCATTGGTGCGTTATAAGAGTAACGATCAGCTTCTAGTATTTGTTCTGATAAGAAGAGTAGCCTAAGAGTTGGCGGTGGATGGTGTTGAATAGTAGTCTTCAACGAAGTCTGTCGTTTCCAAAGTTAAGGGCGGTCATCGCAGATATCCCTAGTATAGTTTTGCGCGAAATTCAACAGACCCTGATAGCCATTACCGAACCAGTTGCCTTTCGTGTGAGTCATTCATTGTATGGTTTTCGTTAGTAGGTCAAACACGTGAAATTCGGTTTACAACGTTTATACGAAAGTATATTTTCCAACGTAGAACTTGCAGGTTATTCAAAGTCTTAAATAGCTAGTTATTAAACTTGTTGGGTAATTTTATTGTTGATTCTTTGGGTTTGGGTTTTGTTAAGGATACAAGCGCATTACCAAAGACTGTTCAAATTTAGAAGGTTGTCTCGTCAAGCCTTTTCGAACCGTTTAATATATCGGAGTGGCCAAAACCAGTTTTATTTTTCTCTTCGAACTTCGTTGTCTTTTAAAGGTAAATCAAGATTATCCCCATCACCACCAGAAACACGAAACAAAACAAAAAATAAACGTTATCTCCATGAGAAAGAACAATAACAACTGATATTCTGGCTCATTCTAAAGCTATTAAGTGTACCGTATGCATATGTCCAAGATTCACCTAACCTGTATCTTTGTTATCCAATGGATTTTTACTGAGTGTAAGTGAATTTTAAGTCTCATAAGAGCTAGTAAAAACTTTTAAAATACTGAATGAATTTATAGACACACACACACACACACACACACACACACATATATATATATATATATATATATATGTAGTAATAACTAACCCGTACCCCCCCT